TGATGAGCACCAGGATGATCTTGTTGGTGATCACCCTCCTGCTCATGCCCAGCAAAATCGTTCGCGTGGTCTTCATGTTATCATTGACATCTTGCACCTGCAGCATTATATATAACATGCTATTAGCATGATTGTTGTGTGTGTGTGGTGTGTGGTGTGTGTGTGTGTGTGTGGCGCGATGCATGTGAGTTGTGTGCGGTGTGAGACGTACCTTGCCGTAGGCTCGTTCGAGTTTCTCCCGGTCCTCCCTCAGCTGGCCCTGAATCTCGTACCCGATCTGCTCGCTCTGCAGCGCCGTGCGGTGGGCCTGTGCGCAGGAGGGCGACAGAAGAACGAAGAACGAAGAAGAGCGACGAAGAAGAAGAAGTTAACCAACCACCCCGTTCATGGCGGACAGAGAAGTAGAAGAGAGAAGGAGAGTGCCGAACGTACTCGGGCGAGGCGGTCGCTGTGGTCGTCGAGGCGTTCGTTTGTGTGAAGAAGCCGCGAACGCTGGTCTGAAGCCAACGCCTGGCAGATGAGAAAAGTGAGCATTAAAAAGAGAATGCATAATAATGAAGTGATGAATATTGGGATGCAATTAATTGTGTCGAAGATCGATTGACGAATGACTGTGAATTTCTTTGGATGGGAGGGAGCGGGCTGGTATACCTCTACGTCATCATTTTGCCAATCGCGAGCCCCCGAAAAGAGGCTGTCTGGATTATACGCGCCTCGCCCTCCATAGTTGGAGGGAGGCGGGGCCGTAGCCGCAGCTCCATAGGAACGTGTGTTGGGGGCCTTGCCTGCCATGGGTGTATGTTCTCACAAGTCTAATGTGACCCCAATTGTGAGAAGAACAGTTGTTCGCCTTTCCGTAATTTATTCTCTTTTTCCTCGATTTTCTCTTCTCCCCCCCTAAAGAAACAAGTACAAAATTAAATCATTTCCATGGAAGCGTCGTGTTTATTTACCACAACGGCAGCCGCCGCCGCAGCCGCCGCCAGGCCGAGTAGACGCGACCGCGCACGAACAAGTGCGGGCAGAAGACGCCGACACCCACCACAACGCCAACACGCCGCCCGCGCCCGCCAGCACGCCGCCCGCGCCCGCCAGCCTGGCCGAGCGATGGATGCACGGCGCCTTGTTGTTGTTGAGTTCGTGGCATTGTTTTTGACTGGCGCAAAGAGAAGAAACCCATTGATGATGATGGTTGCGAGGTGCTCGTCACGATCACGATCACGTGATTCGTTTTGTCAACCCTCCAAAAAAGGAAGAAGCTCAGTCAACAGAAGAACAAGACAGAAAAAGAAAGGCAAGACCCCAAGCACGGCAGAAGATGGAGACGGAGGCGGACTGCCACAGCTCCTTGTCCTCGCACCATCAGCAGCCTGCCACCGACACAGAACGCGCCGGCGCCGCGGGGCCAAAGGCGTGCGCAACGTGCCGTCTGGCCCACGTCTCTTGCGACCGGTCCGTGTTGCCACCCCCCCAAGGCGCCCAACCAAAAATATAATCTTTTATTTAATTTTATTTGCAATATTATTTTTATGCTTTGTAAATAGGAACCAGCCGTGCGCGCGGTGCATGCGGCTGGGCAAGACCGACAGCTGCCAGCCGTCGCCCACGCGCAAGCGCGGCCGCCCACCACGCAAGGCCCCATCCGACGAACAACCACCAGTAAGGAACCACCAACCACAACTGAGCAAGCGGGCCTGCGTTCGGCCCACGACGACCAACGCTGTAGTAATGTCTGACGACACCACCACCTCCTGCCAACACCTGCCATCACTGCAGCTCTGCCCTACAACGACAGCCAACTCAGCATCGCCAACCACCACCACCACCACCTACGCTGGCTCCACTTCGCTGTCTTCGTCGTCGCCGTCGCGGTCATCGTCGTCACCAGCAGACGAGGGGTGCGCGTCGTCGTTTTCACAGCCCGAGGCGAGGTCTCTTCCCGGCCACCAGCGATCC